TTGCAAACAAGGCCAACCATTTGGAAAATGTGTAAAGATGAGTAAAATTGCTGCCATGTTGTTCCAGCTCAGATCGGCATTATGGCTCAAATCAACTGAATTTTTTTTAGTACAACCCCTATCCGAGGCTCAGATAGCTTAAAAGTACTCTATTCATCTTTTGAGTAAAGCCCCTACATTAATGTCAGAGTTTTAATGATCTCAAGTCAATTCTTGAAGTCCAGCTATCTAAAAGAAGTTGAGCTCAAGAACATAGCTGGACCCTTCCTGCTCAAAATCACACCTGATTCCAGATACTTGTATTGCCAACACCTTCCCTCTATGGGTGCAAACTATTATCAGGATCACAGAGATAGAAATCATATACCAACTGTCTCAAAAAGTTCCACATAGTAGTAACTAATGTATTGTTCACAAGCACTGTACAACAAACTTAACAAATATGTCCAAAAAGATCAGGTCAAGTAACTTACGAAGAGACACCACGATATAGTTGGTCATAAGATTTTCTCAGCTTGTCATACGAAGAGGCGTTTCCTTCACTCAGTTCACCTTTAGCATTTAAAATCTTCACATTATCATGCTCCATTTGGTGAAGTGACTTCCATTTGAGAGAGAAGAAAATAATTCCATTAGTAAAAGAACTATGGCATGCATGAATATTAAATTGCCACACCAAATAACCATGAATGCAGAAAACTAAGGTTACAAAAAACCAACTTTGAAATCAAATTTAACCCAAGATCCAGGCATAAAGGAATAAAGCTCTACTGCATGTTCTGCCTGAAGCAGTTCTACAGCAGCATCATAGTAGGTTAGAAATGCCTTTCTAAGGAATTTTTTCTGTTCCGCTGTAATATTAAGTCCCAGGAAAAACTTCAAATATATATATACATATATTGGCATGAGTGCAGAAAAAAGAGCAACTAAATTATTAAAAATAGCTATGAAAACCCCATAATTGAATTCTGTGCAGCCTAACATCAAAACCAATATCTCATTTGACACAGACAAAACCAACATAGATTCATATTTTTAGAGACATCACTATCATTGCAAATGCCATACTCATAACTATCTAACATTGCTTTTTAAAGACAGACCATAGCACTGAACTTTTTCCAACACAGAAAAAAAAATGAGGGAAAGAAAATTTTAAAAAAAGAGAGCCAGGGTAACATCCCATGTACAAAAACAAGTGACAGATATTCTACTACTAGCTATAAAAGAATAAAACAAAGCTCCTAATCATTTGATGAAATGAACACGCTTAAAATGATATCAGAACATCTAGTTTCGTATTTTAATAACAGAAATTAAATTTCACTGCTTCCGTGAAACATCCTGAAGAAATGAAATCAATTCGGCTCAGGGCCTCACCCACTACCAAGATGAAAATGTGCAAGAACTAAGAATTGTAAAAGATATGTTTAACAAAAGCACAAAGAAAGCCCACACTTAATGAAGCATTAAAAAGGTTGAACCTCTTCCAGCGTTTCTTGTCCAGTCACAGGCAGTCCAAGAAGATATCTTCCTTGTCAAGCAAAACTAGCAAAAAGGGATAGATTTGTCTGGGTTGCATCACAATCCTTAAAATGTTCCATGCTAGTGAGATCCTTAATAATATTTGTAAAGAGGCTGCTATCTTCTACAACACGAACAAAGTAAAGTTCCAATAGAAGTTTGAGTGTGCTCAGCTTCTTCATGGCCTTTGAATTTTTGTCTCCATCTAAGTCCTCGGAGGACTTTCCAGGTAAGAAAATTTTCAAGAGACGTTGAACCAGACTAGATGAAAAGTCTTTGTGCCTTTGATGAAGTAAAGAGCAGATCTGATACAGGAAAGACATCTTAAAATACAGTGGAGAGCAAAGTGCAAGTAATACACATGGCAGCATTTCATATACCAATAGTACTTCCAGTAAATAAAAGGTAAATTTCTCTATCTTGGCAAGCAAAGATTTCATTTACTTTGTGCCAACTGGACACAAGCAGAAAAAAAGAGACAAAAATCAGCCAGAATAAAATCAAAGGTAGTCTTTAATATAGATGAAGATATTAAGGATGGTGGCCCTTCGATTCTGGCCCAACCAAAACTCCAAGAAAACCATTTTGACTTCAACAAAAAACTTACAAAGTCAGAACATTCCTGAGATTTCCATTTCACGATGAGACGAGTTTGTTTCCTGTTCAGTAGAATGCTGTGGAAGTCCACTTTGCTTTCACATTAAGAATAAGAAAAGTAAAAGTACACTTTCCTTAGGGAAGTGGGACAACTCCTACCCCTTCCACTCTATGAAAAACGTGTTAAATTTCCAGAAATTTTGAATCTTTTGTTTCATGTCAAGAAAGTCTGGTCCCACTATTAAACTGGGGGTGAGAAGCCAAAGATGAGCGGGAGCCAAACACAAACATAATGAATATGAATCTTGAAAAGCATATGGAGAAATTACATTCAAGGCCAAATAAATTAGTTCTTCATATTCACATTTTTCCATAGGGTGGTTGCAGTTGGAAAGTGAAGTCAGCAAGAAGGCAGGATAAGACCTCTGATAAAAACATCATCCTAAAGGTCATATGCAAGTCAAAATGGCTTTGCTTAAAATGGAAAAGAAAGTAAATAAAGCTACTTTAACTGCTAAAAGATGATGAATATGCAGCTATCCCTTTCTAGATTCTTCCCTGAACTTCATCAAGTGGCAGTGTACTGGTTTGAGATAGCACCTAGTCGCAAATGGAAACAAATAATTAAGATCACATTACTTAAGTTGAAAGTGTAAATATCATCCGTGAACAAGCAACTGCTACAAAATACACACACAATATATGCGTGCACATCCACACATGCAGAAATACACCAAAGACATGCAAACTTTATACCTGAGAAACTAGCATATATTTCTGGAGCATAAAAAAGTGATTTATTATAGACATGCCAGGAACAAAATTAAAGCCTCTAAAACAATATCCTGCAAAAGTGAATTGAAAGAGAAACTTCACCTGTGTTCAGGAAGCTTTGATATTCGTCTAGCATCCATGCCTGTCGTATATTTGTGTTTTTGGCCAACTGAAGCTTTGATATTTATCTAGCATCCATTCGCTCGATGTCTGGAAAGAATTTTCACCAAATCCAAAGCAGTCCTGCAAACACCACTGCACATTCAGCAACTTTCGCATCTTTGGTAATGGTAATGCAAGATGACTCGAGTGAAGACAGAAAGGCGTTATCTTCAATAAAGGCAAGTTGCTAAAGTACACATTTATTGAATGACCTCTTATATGTCAGTTAATTCTTTTGTGTCTCTGATACGAAGTTGCTACTTTGAATATTGAAATTGTATCTAGTCAATCCAGCCGCCATAATAATACATGTTCAGTTAC